GTGTTTTCATGTTTAATGTCACTTTATTACACTTTAAAATTATTTGTATTTTTGTTCAAAGAACATATGAGGAATTATGCTTCCTAGAAGAATAACCTGCCTTCTGTCCAATTTTTTTTCTGTACTTGGAGTACAGCCCAGTTATTACACGGAAAGGGGATTGATTGTTTAGAACATGGCTGTCAATGAAATATTCATCAGTGTGATAGCGGCCTGAAGAAAAAGAATAAGGCATGTTAGGAGATTTATCCTACTCTCCGGAGTGTCCATCCTGACCTTTCAGTCATGCTAGGCTCCCAGCCTTTTAAGAAACGATGCTGTGTTTGTCTTGTATTTCAGCTCAGACCTGCAGCTTCTCTCTCCATCCACCACCGTCCTGCTCTAAATAACTTTGACTTAATTGAAAACCTTTTTTTTTTTTAACACGTCTGACACTCTGCCAAGCTGTGTCAGCTTCATTTCACTGATCAAACTCAGAAGCAGACGTGTAGGTTAGTGTTCACCTGCGCAGAGCGCCCCTAGTCCGCACAACTCCAGGACAAAGCCCGACTCAGGTTAAATTAGAGACCTGACAGCGTCTGCAGAATTGTACTTTGAAAAGTGGATGGAACGGGACTCTGTCGTTAAAAAGTGATCCATGCAACCATGGCAACCAGACACATACTCACACAGACTGTGCCAGTTCTTTTTCTGTCTTTTCCCCAACTAAAACTCTACATATTTCTATTTGCACTCATATAGAAAAGCCCAGATCAGTTAGAGGTGAGCTCTGCGTCCTCCATCCATCCATCCACACACACACACACACACACACACACACACACACACACACACACACACACTCACACACACTAACACACTTAATCTGCTTTGTCATGGCTGCCCTGCTGCCTTTTACAGTGTCTGTTGCTGTTTTAACGTCCGTTATCGTGGCGTAAAATGTGCCGTCGACTCTGACATCTTTGTGTGAGTAAAGTCCGGAGGAGCTTGTATGGGTGGGCACATGCCTGTCAGCTCCAGCTTTCTGATCGCCGGTTGGACGGGGGTGGGGGAGGGTGTGCAGCTTCACAGCAGTGACAAAGCAAAAAATGTGCCGGGGCCCAGGACAGGCTGTGCTGCATCTTTTGTGAGTGTGCTGGAAGGGGAAGCGTTTGTCTTTTCCCCTTTTAATCTACTGTAAGCTGATTGTCTGCCTGCAGTGGGCCAAAAATAAAAAGCAACCAACAGAAAAAGTCGTCTCACAGCTCGGGTATAAATAGTTTAAACGTAGCTCTTAAAAAAGCGTTCTCTGCTTTTCAAAAAGGTGTTGAGATACTAAAATATCCACGTTTGCTGTTATCAGTCACATTGTGGTGTTCCCCGAATTCTGTGGATGTCTTTAATCAGATTTTTCTGTGCCTTGTTTAGTCAAATGGCTGTAAACTATATTGGCTTTCCAGCACATATACATTTGTTGGCGTATTCACAGTTTGGTGTTCGAGCAGGCTTCTTCAAAGAAGCAACATCGGAGCCGATTCTTGACATATGGGCACACGTAACACAACAAGTACCATCATCTGGCGCAGACAGAGTGCATTAGACCTGGTCATTAACATATGATCCGCCATGAGTCCGTCTGTGCACAAATTCTGATGTCCCTACACAGCACGACGCAAACTCGTATTTAAAAAGCAAACTGTGCCGTGTTGGCGAGCCGAGCTGCCCGGCAACAGTGGGCTTGTAATGACCTGAACCTCCCAGGCCGCCACTGACTGATGGCCGCTGTCATGGCCAACCTGCTCACAGGTGAAAATGAGTAACATTGATCTGGGCCAGCTGTCTCATCGGTCTCAAGTCAAAGGTAAAAAAATTGTTAGGGTTGTTCTTAGGAGTGATATGGGCTTTAGTCTCATCGCGTTGGCTCAAAGTCGCCTCCAAGGTGGGATAGTCAGAGGCTTGGGCTGTAGGTTTTACAAGGGAACGCTCAACCCATTTTTCACAGTTTTCGTACTAACTTTCAACTTATATCCATGAGTCTGGATATTGTTCAAGTTCCTTTTAAACGAAAATGTGCCAACATAAAATACCGGTTTGTTTCGGCTTTCTCATTTAAAAAGCTGTTTACATAATCCACAAAATCTGGTGTAGGAATCTAAGCTCTTTTGTTTTTTACTTCAAAGCGAGAAGCGGAACAAACTACCGAATGACTCTGAACTGCAAATTTTCCACATCTTCCCACGCTCCAAACATGAAAGCTGCGCTGCATAATGCCAGAAAAGTCCCGGCTCAATCTTTAGCGTAGCTCGTGTGGAGACGGAATGGCAGCATCAGCACGCGCATAAGAGCACCATTTGGAGTCAATGGAGCCATCAGTCATGTCAGACAGCACTTAACTCTGAAGCTTGTGTTTGGGAGTGTGGATGTCTCACTCAGCCTTCACACCCACCATCATGGGTCCCATCAGCACAACCACTTGCAGAGTCCTACAGAGCACAGAACTCATGCTTTGATTAGTGCTGTTTATAATTTGTGTAGTTTTATACTTGTTATATATGTTATGACAGTGAGATTCTCCATCTCAAACCTCAAAAGATTTGGATACTTGACTGTCTAATAACCAAATACTACAAATTGTTCCTCTTTCTTTCTTTAACTAACCATTATCAACATGTCTGTCTTGTTCTTCGGGGCAAAATGTCTGGTATTTGTTGAGCCTTGATCGAATTAAATGGTCAAATATACAAAGACCGGTTAATGGCTGAAGGAGCTCAGATCCCGACCTGTGGCACTCTGCTGTAATTAATCCCCTCCATGCTTGTTGCTGAAAGGCCACCAGAGGCAGTGAGGGGGGAAGAAAAGCTCCAAGTCAGAGAAATGAAGAAGGGAATATTTTTTTATTGCTATGCTCCTCCAGATTTGAACTGTAGGTTCAGGTCTAGTCAACAGGCAAGCTGAAAGATGATGATTCGGCTCTCATCGTGTTATCTGTAATGTCAGATAGGCACATGTTGTTGTAGGAATGGGCTCTCTAGAGTGGAGGCACTGTCCATCTGTGACCCGTGGTCCTGACGGGTGGGAGGCTTATTGTGTGCTTTAATTGGCTGCTTGGACCTCCAGGTGACAGACGTTCTGCTTGGTTTAACATCATGGGCCATCCTGCTGTGATTTATGCTGATTTCTTTTCCTGGGACACGATGAAGAGTCCGCAGAAATGAAGCACTCAGCCAGAATTTACTTTGTTTTTACTAAAAAGCCTCAGACTAAAAAGCTCAGTCGCAGTGACTGGGGAAACCAAATCCATCAGTTTTAGAGGGACCAAAAGGGCAGAAGCACTCCCATTGTAGGCACTCAGAAATGTGGATGATTTTAGTCCTCCAGAACTTGTTCCATCTAAACAAAGCAGGACTCCAAATCAGGGAAGTTGTGTTAATAGTGTTGAACTTACGATAAGAAAACTGATGATCCATGCAGGGAAAGCCTTGTGAGGTCATTCTTTATGGATGAGTAAAGAACAATAAAGGGCATGGACTAGTCCTGATTTTATCTTTTTTTTTCTTTTTTTTCCAGCCAGGAATTGAATATGACCTGATAAGTTTTCTCAGTGTGACCAGAGCAGCCTCAGCTACAAGGACAGGGTTGACTGCCCTCTTTGTTCTTCTCTTTTTCCCCATTTCTTTCTCCTCCTCTAATTTTAGCCACTCATCCATCAGAGCAGGTGTCAACTCCGCCAGTCTGCACTGGTCTCTATATTCATGAGCAGCCTTAGAAATCTATTTTGTGAATTTCCACCATTGTCACGGTTGTCTAAAGTGGTCAGATTTAAGAGTTATTTTTGATTCAACAAGACTGAGTGAGAACCGGACTTCTGAACAAAATGGTCAGGTGAACAAAACACTTAACTAAACTTTGGTGTCTTTGTTTACACAGACCTGCAACACCCAGTGACAAAGTCAACAGGTTTGGGTGTCCCCTGCCCAAAGCCTCCATATCATTTGGACACATGGAGTGCCTATCAGCAGAGTGCCATAGCACAGGCAATATAAAAATAATAGGCAAAGGTTGCTCCCTTACCAGGATTATTTATCAGAGGGAAAGATACGAGGGCTGTGTTATAAACATTTAGAAAAGCTTGTTCAGGTTCTGCTCATTGAAATGGAATTTTAAGGTCTCTCGTCAATTCTTTCTCTTACGTGAGGTATTTTAGTTTGCTGGAAACTGTGAGATGTTTTCCCCGACGCGTCTCACACCAAAGCCCTGCAGCTGACGGAGCGAGTATTAATCTGTCCAGTGGTGTGAAGCTGCTACCGAGCGCACGTTTGGGTTTCACCTGTGTGATTTCTGTTTGACATATGTTAACCTCTGTTTGTATCTTCCAGGGTGAAGAGGGGCCTCCCAGTCTGGAGTACATCAAGGCCAAGGACCTGTTCCCCCAGAAGGAGCTGGTGAAGGAGGAGGACATCCTTCAGGTGAGCAGAAGGCTTTCCACCAACCATCCACAACCACCTCCTCCTCTGAGTCACGTGCTGGTGACAGGACAGCGTGGCACTTCTGGTTTATTGATTAAAATGTTTTAGATTATAGTGTGACACCGGTGTTGCTGTAATCCCCCCCCCTTGATGCCTGGTGATGTGGTGATTGCCATAACCCGACAGGTTTCAGACGGTGGCCTCGTTTTGTGCCTCCTATCAGAGTTTAACACTGCAGAATGTCATTCATTCAACTTTTGGGAATTACAGAATATTTTAACTTCGATGCGGCCACTGATGAGGCCCCATACCGGTGACAGAAAAAAAAGTACATCTATATTTAAAACTTTTTTTTTTTTTTTTTTTTTTTTTGTGCAAAGCTTCACGTGAATCGGAAGGAAAGCTTAAAAGGAGGAGATGAAAAATTTTGTCAAAGCTTCTTTGTGGAGAGTTTGTAACTAAACCCATATGGATGTTGCGTTTTCATCCCACAGACACGAGCTCAATCTGTTTTTCTCTCCTAAAATGAATGAACGGGCAGGTCCCTTTTACAAGTAAAAAATACCATCTTTGTCTGCTCCTGCCTTCTTTTGGAAGACTTTGTACCGTTCCACTAAAACGGTCTCTGGGGAGAGTAAAACCAGGGCATGTGAAAAGCATTTGGGTCGTTTATGCGAGAAGGATTTGTTTAAGATGCACGCAGATACCCAATGATGGGCATCTTTCGCTCTCCCGTTTGTGGTGTTGAGTTTGTGCTTTTTGGCTGTCTGGTGGTTAATGGAGCCAAGTATTATCTGTCTGGAGAACTGGACAAAGGAAAGATGGAGGGAGGAGGGGTTTGCCCTGCCAGGGGGGAGATATCTGATGTTTCTTTTTGTCGGGTTTCAACTGAAGCATGTTTCCACTTGGTTTGCAGTGAATTGCAGAGTATCGGCCCACACAGAAGTGTTTTTTATTAATAGAGGTTCATGTGCTGAAGGACTTCCAGCTGAGCAGCCTGAGTAACTGAGAGCTGTCGTGCAAATGCTTTGCAATAGTTCTTTTTTAAAAATAAATATACAGTCTTACACTCTGACTCCCCTACCCCAGCGTTCAAACGTGTCTCTGCTGTCATATTTTTAGATATTGCGGTGTTCAGATCCTCCAGCTGACGCGTGTCACCCTTACAGGCATTCCCTTCTCTGTCACATCTAATACCTGTGTGCATCTGCCCTGACGGGGCAGGCTGCTTAAACCGGAAGTCACGACGCACAAGTCAGAGTGTTATTCATGAGTCTTCTCCGCTCCCCTTCCCCCCCTCTCCCCCCTTTTTTTTTTTTTTCATATTTCTGCTGCTCAAAGCTTCACAGAGGAAACGTGACACAGTATCTTCTGCTGGCTGTCGGTGACTCATGCACCTACTTTTGGAGCACAGCTCGTTTAATGCGGCTCCCGGTCCGTACAGCATGTTAACTATGGTACTCTCTGCAGGACGTGTTCGGTCTCCACCACATCAGCTGCACACTTCCAGCCTCTTGTGCTGCTCGGGACAAAAATACCTTCTCCAGGTCATGCACACGAAGCCACAGCATCCCCCTTTTTTTTTTAGCTCTGCAAGCCTTATTCTGCTATTGTCATTTAAAAAAAAATGATTTCATGCAGGTTACAAATGCATTTGAAATACCACGGTATCTTAAAGCTCCCACACTGTGTTTTGGGTGCTTCTGTCGTATATATCTGACCCCGTTTGTGTCCGACTGCAGGTTACTATGTGCTCCATCTCTCAGCTTAAGCCACACTTCTACTCTTTTTTTGTTTTGCGCTTTGGAACTTTTTTTTCTTTCTTTTTTTTAAACAAGCCACAGCAGGCCGGAAATGTGTGTGGGTTGGTTCTTTTTTCTGTGACACAGCTTATTAAAACCCGTCTAAAAAACAAACAAAAAATAAACAATGATCCTTCATATTTCTCAGATTTACTGTTTTTTGGTACTTTGGGTGTCGGTTATATCCAACATGTGGGTTCTTTGCAGCTTCTAACAGTGGTGGCTGATGTTTCTCATCAGTCCCACCTCTTTCCCTAATAATCCCCGTTCTGCCCCGCTGCACATTGCCTTTTTAAAATGCACCTCTGGGTCCTGCTCTCCATGATTCAGCAATGCATGCTAATGCCGGATGAGGTAATGTTGTCTCTAAGCAACACCGTCGTCCTCACTACCAGCAGCTAAACAAGGCCCGAGCCTCCATTCATGGTCCCCACTGGCTGTGATCAGTTAAAAGCAGTCGGAATGGAAATAAGTGTGGAACAAATGGGCGCCGAGCAGAGACTTTACTCTCTTTTCTGAATGTTTTATGCATGGTGCCTGAAAATGCTTTAATCTTCTTCTTATAGTGCAGTTATGTTACAACTGACATCCTGCTGTTTTTTCAGCAATTATTAAAGATCCCATCACTTTCTCCATTTAATTGAGTTATTTTTAATCCCTTTGAAAAAGCAGCAATGGTAAGAAGTAACATTTTCCCAGAATGTGGAAGCGTGGCGTGGGGCGCTCTAAAGGAGGTTAAAAGCTCCAGTGTATTGATAAACTAAAACATTGTTTATAAGTTGGCAGACGTCCTCATGTTTCACATCCCCTCGGTTGGCCTTTAAAGATAACTCCCTACCTCGGAATGAAATGAAAAATGTTCCATGGGCCTCTGTTAGAAAAGCAATTACCTTAATGTGAGGGTTTCGTTGCAGCTGAAGCCAAAGCTCGACTGTGACTGTAATAAAAAGGGTACAACTAAGAATGTTAATGGACAGTTTGGGATCCCTCCCAGCTCTACCCCTTCTCTGCCTGCTCATTCAGGCACAGCAACGGCCCTCACAAAGCTTCCTCTGTAAGACCACTGTGTGCTAATTAGAGAGCTACACATGCACACCATTTCACGGGCTGAATGTCACCACCTATATAATGGCTGGCTTTAAATTTAAAGAGTTATTACTAAGCTTTAAAGGATGATTAGATGAGATAAAGCTGATGTTAATAGATCTGCTTGATTCTGTAACTAGAAAAAGGGTCTAAATGAAACGCGTTAAGTTATCGAGACATCTTGTTTGACACGACTCTCCCCTTAGCTTTCACCGATCAAACGCAATATCCGAGCAGCTGCTCCGCGTGCGCAATCCCGGGTGGTCTCTGAATATTAATTTCACCAATTCCTTTGACTAAATTGTAAATCACATTGAGTTTACTGCTAATTAAAAGGACGGATAGGTTAAACCACTGCCGATAACCACCATGTCATCACTGTGATGGTAAGAGAAATGTCTTTGAAGGATGGACGTAGACACGATGAGGCCTGCAAGCAGGTGCTAGCGTAAAGATCTGACCGGCCCGTCTGTTTTGTCTCTGCAGGTGCCATTCCCAGTTCTTCAGGGGGAAGGGGTGGAGTATCTTGGTCGTGCAGATGAAGCCATCATTGCCATTTCCAACTACAGACTCCACATCAAGTTCAAGGACTCCGTTATCAATGTGAGTTTATGTCTCACACCATAAACACTCAGGAAAAACTCAATTTCTATGTAAATGGAACAGTTTTCTGCGGAGAAGTGCAGCCGTGCCATGCCACGGCAAAGGCCAATAGCAGAGGAGAGGAGGAATTGGTGCTTAATTTGGAGACACACAGCCCCCCTCACATACAATTTATAACGCATAACGATGCTAACGGGGACAATAAACCAAGGAGAGAGTTAAACATGGGGTACCCGAAAGTGGTTTTAGCCCTTTTTTTTTTTTTTCTCTGTAGTTGCGACACGGTTGTTTGTGCCACAGGAGTAGCGGGCGCTTTGATCGTCCGACAGGAGAGTTTTAATATGACATCCAAGCTCCGTGGGCCCGGCCCCCACTGGCACTGATGTCCACCAGCCCGCTCCTGCTGACGTCAGGCCCTGTTTAAACACAAACAGGCCAATTGTTTGCATTCGCTGGCGGTGAAATTCCTCGTTCTTCCCAAATGCCTGTCATCTTTTCCACAAGCGTTCAGGTTCTGGAAAAGATGGTAGCGCTTTCCAGAGAAGGAGGGGGTTGCGGATTAATTACTAGGATGGTAAAGTCACCCCTTTAGCTGGACTAACTTGAGAGTGTAAATGCCACCAGCTTACAGTCCCTACGCTCCTGCTCGGCGGACTCCTGCCTTGACCCTGTCAGCACAGTTAAACGCTGTATGAATGCCAGCAAACTCTCACCCACACCTCCCTTCACAGCTCATCCCATACTTTTAAGCTGTTTTCTTGCCCTTTGCTCCCGTCTATGTTTGTCTTTCTCTCCATAAATTTCCATTGGCCTCGGACATGTGCCGCTCTCATGTGACCCACTCAGTTATCTTTGTTTCTCGCACTCTTTGATGTTTTCTTTCCTATTTTATTCTTCATTTTCCTTTTGTCTCTTTAATTAATTTGGGTTTTAATAGTTTTTTTTATTTCATTTCCTCCTGTCTTGTGTCTACCCTCCCTCCCTTCTCTCTGTGTGCTCCATGGTGTCACTGTGTTTTAGACCTACCCAGGTGTGGACAATGAAATCTCTGTGAGTACCTCACGATAAACCGCCACCCTCTGCCACAGACAAAGCTGCAGTCCTTCAGCTCTTTCCCTCTAAATTGTTCCAAAGCATTAAAAAACTAACTGTAGCTTAGTTTCAGCTGAATATTGGTGTTACATGTGTGATTTTTGTGCAGAATGCATGGTTGACCCTGACATGTAATAAACATAAGCCCTTTCTCTTGCCACAGCGTTATTTCCCTTCTTGTACAACATGCACATAGTGCTGTTACATAAAGTTTGGCCAAGAGTTAAATATTTAATAGAGCGAAACTTGACAGCACTTTTATTTCTCTGTATTTTTAAAAAGCCTTAAGAACATGAAGTTTACAGCTATTGTTTGGTGTCGTAAGGCATGTAGACACTAATGTGAGAAAAAGGCACAAAGGCTCTGCTTTGTTAGTCTAGCCTGGATTGAGTCTGTACTGGACCAGAGGGTGGTAACATGCCGTCTGCTCTGACAGGGGGCTACCAGGCTAATTGCGCGTTCTCTCTGTCTCCCCCTACAGGTGCCGCTCCGGCTGATAGAAAGCGTGGAGGGCCGAGACATGTTCCAGCTGCACATCATCTGCAAAGACTCAAAAGTTGTCCGGTAAGAGGGGCCTTTCTCCCACACTCTGGTATTCATTTAAGTTAAAATGCCTGTTTGCTCAGCCTTTAGAAATTAGTTAGGTCACATGATGCAGTTATTGGCCTGTATAACAAATCTTTATATGGAAATATAAAGAAGTATTCTATTGCAAATGAGCTCAGGTATTACGAATAATGTATTAATCCTAATGGACACTTAATAGTTCTGAAACCAACGAAAAATTATGTCATATGTTGTTGTTTTTAACTCCCATCTACATTTCAACCTCCTTTTTTCAAATTTTTCTAAGTTACATGAGTTTGATGTTTGCACATTCAATTTTTTTTTAGAGCCAACACTTAAATGATGAGGAAAATAAGGGTTCACAAGCTCTGCTGTAGAAAAGCTCATTTACAGAGAAAAAAACCCTTCAGTTTGACTTCACAATCATACTGAAAAATAATAATTCCAAAATGTGAAAGAGAAGCATTGTTAAGTGAAATAATGGTGCTGTTTGATAAAGTTACTTGGAGTGATTTAACTGAAATGATGTGATTCTTAAGTTTCCCACAAATATTTTATTGGAAAAAATAGATATAAGAAACAGACTTTCAAAGGAAGAAAACTTAAGTCTTCTTATACTGGTTGTGTCCAGAGCTTTCACACACTCTACAGCATTTTGGTTCCTCATCACTAAGCTGCCCTTTAAAAGCAGAATAATCCTTCATAGTGTGAAGCTGTGGACAGATTTTACTGGCACATATCTAAACTGCACTGTCTAAACTGGGACCTCCACAGATGCCACTTTGCAACATTCAAGCAGTGCCAGGAGTGGGTCAAGCGTCTGAACAGGGCCATCGCCCACCCGTCCCGGCTGGAGGACCTGTTCGCCCTGGCCTATCACGCCTGGTGTCTCGGAGGCAACGCTGACGATGAGGACCAGCACGTTCACCTCTGTCGACCAGGTAACCCCCCACGCCCACACAGATGTTTAAGAGAAGGTTGTTCTTCATATTTACACCCCCTCCCTCCGCTTTGTGCATGTTCAGGGGACCATGTGCGCCACAGAATGGAGCTGGAAGTCAAGAGGATGGCCTTCGACACCCAGAACGTTTGGAGAGTGTCCGACATCAACTGCAACTACAAGTATGTCATATTTCTGACAAAAACTCCCAAATAAAGCCAAAGAATCGTCTAACTGGCTCCAAGAAATTCAATTTTAGTCATCCCTGCTTTATTAGGACAATTATGAAATGTTACTTTTGAAATTTTAAAGCAGGACAAAACTGATTAAACGTGAGCAAATAGACTTAAAGTATTGCAGAGAATAATGATAAGAGCGAGCTAGCAGCAGCTATCATCGTTTTCTTCATATTCTTAGACGTCAGTGTTTCTGGTTGGTCAGCATTCTTTTCAGCCAAATCTTTAAGAAAAAAAAAAGTTGGACATAGAAATGCAAGAGAGATTTTCAGTATATCAATAAAAGCCTTATTAGACTTACTTTAGAATATGAAAACATCAAAATTGTTTTTGTGCATTAGAAGCTGGGATTTGCCTTTTTGAAAGAAAATGTAAATAAGACTGAACAACTGAAATGGAGCAATTTTCCGAATATTTCTTGAGTTGTCAGACTGAAATTAGATGATTCAGTGTCAGTTTCTGCTCTGAGTCCCAGATATTCCCTGAAATGAGAGTAAATCTTAAAGAGCCCTCTATTTTCCTCTTGTGGATGCCCACCGCAGATGCTCCTTTGTCCTCGCCTCGCCTCCACTTAAGAGCCCCTGGGTTTGGTCAAAGAGTAATTTATTTTTCCTTTTTGCTTGAGATGGTTCCAAACAGAGTGAAATGACCCAGAAGTAAATAAGAGATAGCCATGAAAGGAGCTTTTCCAATTCCTAAATACTGGATAAAAGAGTTTCCTTGCTCCCTTTACAATCTGCCTCAGCTCCAGAAATACTGGACCATCTTTTATGAAAGATATTAAAATAATCCACTCTTTGTTGGTTAGGATCTCCTGTCACTCTGTGATTTGTGTGGACAAATATGAAAACATAAGGGGAGTCTGAGCAGCCTGTCACAACCACATATTCCACTTAGCTGCACCTTTCTTTCTTTTTCCCATATCTACCTTGATAATACAATATTTATGAGACCCTTTCTCTTTGTATTCTTTGTCAGTAAGAATATCTCAAGGTCTTTTTAAACTGTTAAACCAAATCCTGTGAAGTCTGGAGTCTGCATCTCCCCCATAGGTAGCACTACACAGCCTGGTTTATTCACTTTTAACTGCTCTCTGGAGACTCCCTTAATGAATCACGTTTCTGTCTTTGCAGCCTTTTTGTCATCGCCTCAGATTTGCATTGTTAGTGAATGTCGTGGTCTCCTTGGCAAATAAATGCAGAATAAGGGCCGTTTGTTCAGATTGCCTATGAGAAGAACACAACCTGCTGTGGGAGACAGACACACAGGACAACCAGCTAATTAAACAAGCTGCAGCATGCTGAGGCCCATGACTCAGCATAGTATTTAATTTTCCCTCTTGTACGCACACACATAGTCTCTGTCCCTCCCCTCCCTCAGCTGTCTGTATGTGATCTGGGGAGGAGACCAGAGATGGATGGAGTTGTGCAGTGCCACAAAGATTTGCTCTCTGTCAAAGCTGAGTTATTAATGTCTGATAATGCACCACCAACTATATTTAGCTCTTAACTGAGAGCTCTCACCTTCCGCCCTCTGTAGGCTGTGCTCCAGCTACCCGCAGAAGCTTCTGGTTCCCATATGGATTACCGATAAGGAGCTGGAGAGCGTGGCTTCCTTCAGGTCCTGGAAGAGGATCCCTGTGGTGGTCTACAGGTGGGGCCAGCCGACACGTCAGTGGGCAGAGCGTGGGGTCTTTCCTCCAGCTCGAAAAAAGGAGTGGTCATTGAATCCGCCACTCTGTCTTCCAGGCACCAGAGGAACGGCGCAGTGATCGCACGATGCAGCCAGCCTGAGATCAGTTGGTGGGGATGGAGGAACACGGACGACGAGTACCTGGTGACATCCATCGCTAAGGCCTGTCAGATGGACACGGGGGCCAAGATGGCGCCGGCCAGCCGACAGCGAGGGGACGCTCCCGACTCTTCCGACAGCGATTTCGGTAAAGCTGCTGTCGATCTCATGTATTCATATTCTATTTTATTCATGTTTGCATCCGTACAGAGTTGTGAGAAACGGTGTGTTTCTGTGACTAACAGGAGTGTTTGAGGGTCTTAAAATTCAGCAGAGTCACCGATTTACACAAGAATAAAGGATCTGTAATGAAGGTGCATCCTGCCCCCTCATTATGTGCGTCCTGCAGCTTTAAACACACACAGCTGTAGTGCTTCAGCACTGCAGCTTACAAGCAGTCCAAGTTCTGAAAATGAAACATCCCTCTAAGTAGGACAGCTGTCAGTGGAGCCTTTTCAGGAAAACAACTCTTTTCCACATCTTTTTCATTTTCTGTCAGGGCCGGCACCATTATGTCAAATTATGAAGAAAGCCTTGTTAAAAAGGCCTCCGAAATGTTTTTAGACATCACTAACCATGCTTCCGTACAAATGCAGTCAGCTTCCAGTCTCCGATATTACTCGCCTCTCTCTGTGGCAGCATCATCAGGAGGGAGATATCGATCTCTCTTGATGTAACAAATGGAGATAATTTCCGTTCGGCACCTTTCTGGATCGCCCGTCACCTCTTCCTGTCATCACATGGCCCCAGAAGATTAGATCACCTCGTTCTGCCCTTGTCTTTTCCTCAGACTCCTCTCTGACGGGCGGCTCTGGCTGTGATGACCACGCTGTCCCACAGAAGCTGCTGATTCTGGACGCCCGCTCCTACACTGCTGCTGTGGCTAACCGAGCCAAGGGCGGGGGCTGTGAATGTGAAGGTTGGTCAAACTTTTAGGGGGATCTGACAGCTTTTACTCCCTTTCTGCATTGATAGCTGATCTAATCTCTAATTTGAATTATTAATACAGTTTATAGATAAAATCATCCATCTGGACATGTTTTGTTTTTTTAGCAGAAAAGATTGTTGCATATCCCACCTGTGTCTTCTAAACAAGGCACGGCTCAGTTTAGTGTGACCTGTAACAGAGCCGTTTGTTTGTGTTTAGAGTACTACCCAAACTGTGAGGTAATGTTTATGGGAATGGCCAACATCCACGCCATCCGCAACAGCTTTCAGGCTCTGAGGACCGTCTGCAGTCAGATCCCGGATCCAGGAAAGTAAGTGATCTGTTTGACCTTTCCCTCTGAGCAGCGCTGCCCTGCGTTGCTCCGCCCCCCCCCCCCCCCCCCCCCCCCCCCCCCCCTGTTTTAACAGCTTCAACGCACTGAAAGGCAACACCGCTCCGAAATGGGAGCGCTGCCACGGCAGAGCTTCATTCCTGCCGGGCCGGCCAGCTGTCTGTCTGTACACATCAGCAGCGCATACCTCGGCTGTGCGTTTCCATGAATTCCAGCGTTTGTGTCGGCTCTGTGTGTTCTGCCTGTCTGCTGCTCGAGCAGCCGTACGTAAACTACACGAGTTAACCCGGCTGCTGCTGTCAGGAGTCTTTTGATCCTGACATAGGAGTGTGATGACACGCAGAGGCCTCCACACATGTGGGGCAGAGCCTCCCTGTGCTTATCCATTCACCCTGAAAACACACTTTAGGGTTACAGAGTAGAATCGTCTGTATTTATTGGGAGAAATGCTGTAGTTATCGGTGTTTGTCTAAATAGCCCCCTCCCTGTTTTACAGCTGGCTGTCGGCGCTGGAGAGCACCCGTTGGCTGCAGCACCTGTCCGTCATGCTGAAGGCGGCCGCCCTGGTTTGCTCTGTGGTGGAGCGGGAAGGCCGGCCTGTCCTGGTACACTGTTCAGACGGCTGGGACCGCACACCCCAGATAGTGGCCCTGGCTAAGGTTCTGTTGGACCCCTACTACAGGACGTTGGAGGCGAGTGTCGGCGTGGTTTGGTTCGATAGTTCTCTGCTCAGACGGCGCGTCGGGGTGTTTTTATTAACGCGACGTTGGCTCTCCTCTGCAGGGATTCCAGGTGCTTGTAGAGATGGAGTGGCTGGACTACGGCCATAAGTTTGGGGACCGCTGCGGCCACCAGGAGAACACGGACGACGTCAGTGAGCAGTGTCCCGTCTTCCTGCAGTGGCTGGACTGCATCCACCAGCTGCTCAAACAGTTCCCCTGCCTGTTCGAGTTCAACGAGGCCTTCCTGGTGGGTGGACCTCCAGCGCCGCCCGCCCCGGCGCTCTCTGTGGCCGCTTGTGGGCTCACGGCTGCTTCAGAGGTCGGAAGGTGACGTCCATCTCCTGGTTTTCAGGTCAAGCTGGTGCAGCACACGTACTCGTGTCTCTACGGCACGTTTCTGTGCAACAACGCTCGTGAGAGGGAGACGAGGAACATCTACAAACGCACCTGCTCCGTCTGGTCCCTGCTTCGCGCCGGAAACAAGAACTTCCAAAACTTCCTCTACATCCCCAGTCACGATATGGTACCTGCCTGATTCATGCCCTCATCATCCCTCTGTAGTTTCCACTGAAATTTTGGCTTAGGAGTTATGTAAAGCTACAGATTAATGGTTTATATTTTTAATAGATTTGAAGCTTAAGGTTCAGTCTGAGTTGTTCTTTTTGTCCATGCTCACACAGAAGGATCTGACCAGTAGATTAGCTCATGTTGACCTGCTGGGACTGCCTTGTCATTTGTCCGTCTGCCAGGTGCTGCAGCCAGTCTGCCATACCCGGGCCCTACAGCTGTGGACAGCTGTTTACCTGCCCACCTCCTCCCCCTGCACAGCCGTGGACGAATCTGTGGAGCTCTACCTCCCCCCCTGCGTCACGGGAGACGAGCTCACCTCCCGCTCCCTGGACAGGTAAACTGGCTCCATCTCCTCTCCACCGACTGACCGCTTAGTGGTTTAGTAGATATCTGCATTAGAACCAGACTGCCCTCTAGTGACCTGAACAGGTGTTGCATATTTGTGGACGTGAGAAAAAGATGGGTTCATCTCTGATTTTCCAGACTTCCAAAGACTCGCTCCATGGACAACTTGCTGTCAGCCGTTGAGAACGGGATGCCCCTGACGCGCACATCCAGCGACCCGAATCTCAATAAGCACTGCCAGGAGGGCCGGGCTGCTCTGGAGGCCTCGCCCGCCTCCGAGGAGGCGTCTGCAGGCGGCTCCGACGGGCCCAGCACCGACTCTGAGGAGGAGGAGGAGGAAGAGGAACAGTCTGAGCACCGGGGTCCCGCCGACTCCCCTGAAGCCGACCCAGAGGGCTGTGGGGACTCACTGGAGGAGCCCTGTCTCACCACACAGCCCCTGCCCTCCTGCCCCCTTCCTCCCGTCTCCGTCAGCACAGATGTGGCACTCACGCACACAGCCTTTCCCACTCCTGTCCTCCACCAGGCTTCGCCTCACATCGCCAAGCCTCCACCCTCACCTCCTCCAATGGAGGCGGAGAGCCTGTGCAGGACTGCAGAGAGCACCACCACTCCCACCCATAAGTCCGAGCCTTGCTTACCGCTGCCGTGCAAAAACACTCAGCCCGCCGCCAACACGCCCACCTCACCGCTCAATGGACACTCGGAGGCTCTTCCCAACGGCCTCCCGCAGCCTCTTAAACGGAGGACAAGTCCCCCGCCCATGGAGGACTCCACAGAGACTCTCACGGACGAGGGAGAGCTTCCCCTCACCGACCCTTCCGCAGTGGGTCCAGACCTTCTGTGTGATGAGGAGCTGCCCAGTGTTCAGAGGGAAAAGGGGGAAACCAGGACTGACGAGATGAAAGCTCGAGAGCGAGCGGCGCCCTCAGACTGCGCCCAGCTGGCCGCCCGCCAGCTCATCTCCCAGAGCCAGCTCTCCGACCTGTCCCTGCTGGGCTCCCACTGGGACAGCGTCCAGGGCCTGGTCCAGTCCGCCTGCGGCCACTCGGCCGTCAGCCGAGCGCTGCAGCCCGGCAGCTACCAGAGCCGGCGGCTGGCCTCCAGGCTCCTGCGCGCCCAGGGCTTCCCGCTGGCCGGCGGGCCGCAGTGCTGCCGGCGGGAGGCGCTGTGCTGCCCGGTCAGCCCCCTGCAGGCCGGCTGGCTGTCGGCCGCCCGCAGCGCCGGCTACAGCGGCCTGTGCGGCCCCGCCCTGGCCGCCCTCAGCAGCTACTCGCTGGCCGGCCCCCAGCTCCTGCCCGCTCCCTACTCCTCCCCCCCGGCCTCCGGCTCCCCCCCGCCCCCCCACGCCCCCGCCTACCTGGACGACGACGGGCTGCCGGTGCCCATGGACGCCGTCCAGCAGAGGCTGCGTCAGATCGAGGCCGGCTACAAGCAGGAAGTGGAGGTGCTGCGACAGCAGGTGCGGCAGCTGCAGATGAGGCTGGAGAGCAAGCAGTACAGCACCCCCCCCTCAGAGCCGGACATCGACTACGAGGATGACATTGTGAGTCCGTTGTTCAGATTCTGATCTCGGGTCCCCCTGTCGTTTTATTTTTGTTTGTTTATTTTTTCTGTCTGCTGTGTTTTTTACCTTTCATGTGCCCTCTGCTGCAGACGTGTCTGCGGGAGTCAGACAACAGCAACGAGGAGGATTCTCTGTCCACCCACAGCGAGGACCGTCTGTCCGAGGGCAGCTGGGATCGAGTGGAGCGCAAGGACACAGAGGTCAGCATCCGTCACTACCGAGTAAAGCCTCTGCCTGCACGTCGTCCCCCGCCCCGCCCCCAAAGAGCAGCCGGTAACTCCCACTCTGACCCGCCTGTCTGCCTTTGCAGGTCACAAGGTGGGTGCCTGACCACATGGCGTCCCATTGTTTCAACTGTGACTGCGAGTTCTGGATAGCCAAGAGACGCCACCACTGCAGGTGAGACGTCACCGTGACAACGAGAAGCATGTGCACGAATACGCAGTTTGTTGACAGGAACACCTCTAAAATCTATTACTACTGCAAAAAGTCTAAACCTATTTCATGAATTAGTGGCAGGAAAGCAAGAAGAACTCGAGAATCTAAAAGCTGCATAATTCTGATAAAATTCTCAAATCTGAAAATAACACCCTGTTCATCCTCCCAAAATGTAATTTATCATGAAGCAGATTGTTTTGGTTTCAGGGTAACCGTCATTTGACTTTGGACTTGTATCTGTTGAGCCAGCAGCCTCTTTACGTGTGCAGAAACACGGGGAACAGCAGCAGGGCAGATTTGGCCTCATTCTCTGTTTTGGTGCTAAGCTAAAAAGCTGCTGGCTCATGCACGCTGTCCTCCATCTAAACCCAGCAGACAGCCCCCAACTGTTAAAGTAAGCTTGATATTTGGTTATATTCCCATGGGTCGACATTTTGATGCTGTGAAATCAGCCAAAAGTACCATCTTGCAGGTTTCGGTTTAGCTCAAGAAAAACAACCGCCTCCACACAGACAGGAATTTTTAGCAGAAGGGAAAATGGATGCTTCTCTACCTGTAATTAATGCTTAGATAATGCATTCATCCTTTGACCAAACTGGATCAAACTCAGCAGGTCATCGGGTGTCTTCTCTTTTTATCAGAAACCTGAGGTGAAATTTGCAACAAACAGTGAAGATAAAGAGAAGTGATGAGCTTCCTGTTTCATTTTGGTTGAGCAGATTTCACTACCATTCAGAAGTGCAGAGAAACCAACAAAATGTGTCTTTTGTGCTTATTTTTTTTGTTTTTTTTGGTTGCATTTCAGCCAAACTTTGTCGCTTTTAGAGATTATGCCCTTCTTTAGACTTTTTAAAGCTTAATTTCTGCAGCTTTTACTACATGACAAAGACAAAACGAGGCTTGCCTTGTCTGAAACACGGCCTTAAGCGTACGTGGAATGTTGTGCTGAAAGCCCCAAACCATTTGCCTTTCCCTTTCGTGCTGCCGCCGGCTGTTTAAAGGAACTCTCCTTCTCTGGTGGCTTTCAGGAACTGTGGGAACGTCTTCTGTAAGGACTGCTGCCACCTGAAGCTGCCCATCCCGGACCAGCAGCTGTACGACCCGGTGCTGGTGTGCAACACCTGCCACGACCTGCTGCTGGAGTGCCGCACCCGCGAGATCCGCAGCCAGCAGCTCAAGAAAGCCATCGCCACCGCCTCCAGCTGAGGGCAGCGCCTGCGCCCCGTCCCGCCCGTTTCCGCCCGGCGAGCCGAGCGCCCCGCCGGCGCCCCGCTGTCACGCCGCCGGCGGGGGCGAGTGTCAGAGGAGGAGCCGTTTCTGTTCAGGTGGCTCGGTTTTTCTTTTTTTAAGCGAGGACGGCGCTTGAACTGGAAGGGGGTAGGATGAGGACGGTGGGAGAGGGAGTGGCTTCAGACGGTTTTCAGCCCCGGAGCGCCGCGGCGTCCCGCTGCCCGCGCACGCCTCAATCCTCTCAGCGGCGCCCTGTCTGAGGAACGCCTCCAGCCCGCCCACCTTTGGCCCCAAACACCTGCACCTTCCCGACAGACACTGTCTGGCACTCCAGAGGACAATCGCTCACCCTCCCGTGTGTCGGGGACTCCGAAGCCTCTACCCGTACTACCAGAGGCTCTCAACTTTAAAAGGAGAATTGCTGCTACAGTATTTAAAAGTCTAATTTTGTACTCTTTATTTTGTGCACTACTAGCTGTCGTGTGTTTGAGGGGAAACTGAGACCAAACCTGAGCAAAAAGGGAGAAATCTGCTGTTTACGTTGCCATTGCATTTTTTTTTTTTCTTTTTTTTTTTCTGTTTTTGTTTTCCTTTTTTTTTCTTTTTTTTTTTCAGGAGCCTGAATGTAACACGTGCTGGGGTAACTGGAGTCTATGTTCATGTGCATTTGGTGGGTTGTATAAATAAATGTTCATTGCTGCAATGTGTTCTCCAAATGATGTATATGCACAGTCAACGTGGTTCTGTCTTTCAAAAAGCTCTTGTCCGATATGGCTGCGTTAGACCAGGTGAGGGCGGTGGACAGACATGTGTTATCTGGGGGGGGGGGGGGGGAGAGAGACGCTGTGTGTGTTTTCTGTGGAGGGACTGAGGGAACGTCTGAAAGGTTTGAGTGGCTCAGTGTCCACGTAAAGCTCGACGTCCATCTGACCGTCAGCTCAGACTGTAAGCTGGCAGAATGCACGGAGGGTGGGGGGGGGGTTGTTTTCTTTTCTTTTCTTTTGGAGGAGGGAGCTTGGCTATGGTCCCCTTTCTAAAAAAATATCTATATATATGTTTGTGTCTACTGGTTGTTCCTTGAGACAATAGTGCCATATTTAGTTTTGTCTCATTTTGAAGCCTTTTTCTTTCTGATGGACAGCAGCAGTTTTCTAATTGGCCACATCTGTGTATGTTTTAATAGTGCAGATATTTAGCTGCTTAACACTGAGACAACTAAAACTTAAAAGATGGTTGAGTTAGAAGATGATTATGACGATGATGATCATGGGATGTCACCATAGAAAGTAAACTTCCGGTTGCCCATCATCTAATATTTGTGCACAGTGTTGATGAGGTCAAAATCTTCATGAGGAGCTGAGATGTAACATACATACTTATCTGATCAGTAGTGGTGGCTAAAACCTGACACTTAATGAATAATTGTTGTAAAGAAATGCACTGTAAAAGTTAAATCCCATGGGTTAAAATAAAAGATTATATCAATGATCCTTTCCTGTCTGAATGAGTCCTTTCTGCAGCAAGGGACAAAGAGAGAAATAAGCCAAAGAGAAGCCATAAAAGGAAGACTCGGACTGGGTCTCGGGCAGCTCGCTTCATTGGACCAGAAATATTCCACCACCTCCGGGCTTCAAATGAGTCTCTGTAAAGGCTCCAAGCACCTTCTCCAGTGGGGTTCAAATGGTTCCAACAGGTCAGAAAAATAACAAGAGGAGAGGTCTTAAACCTGAAAGCTTTGTTGGTCAGAGGCTGCAAGTGGTAAATGGGGATCAAATAGTGTACCAAGAAAATAGATCATAGTTTCAAGATATTTATTTTATAAACCAGTGACTCGGATCTTCCTGGAAGACACCAGATAACAGGATTTGCTTCCTTTTTTTAATGAGTTCTTACAATAATTGTAGTTTCTATACAGAGAATTACACATGTGCATCATCAGCATTAAAGGAAACTTTTCTTCTATTTCTGTTGTAACCGCAACGTGGTTTTGAAGTAAACTCTGGTGGTAGAGCTGATTTTAAAGGAGAGACCTGCAGTTTTAGACTGAGAGGCTGTGACGTTGAACCTGATATTTCTGCCTCCGTGTCGCAGGATGCTGTGATCAGCGGAGTCCAAAGCAGCAGTGAGGTCTGCCAGGACAGAACAGATCACCATCAAAGACTTTTAAAGGTCATTAATGGCCTGACAGAGAAGGCTTTAAAAAACAAAAGTTTATTTCATGACCACTGTAGTTTGCAAATTGTAGTCGGAAGATTAACTGTATACGTGAGTTCCTTAATACACCCAGTAGATTTAAAACATGCCAAGAAATAAACAACAAACAAGGTCCAAAAGCATCAACGACTTTTAAATAAGTATACTAGAAGCACACCTACATGAGATTATCTCAGGGAAACTCATCAATGTGAATGGGAAGATGTTAAGTGGTGCAGAAATCAGATTAAGAGGCGGAGAAAGGGCCTTGTTGAATCAAATGGAAGAAAACTAAGAACCGTCTGTCCCGCAGATCAGATTCAACATTAAACTCAACCAGAACTTGTTTGATGCAGGATTGGTCTCAACATACAGAAGTCTGAAAATGCATTTAGCCAAAAACCAAACACAAACAGGAACCAGTTGACGTGAATAGATTTAATCAATGGAAGAACCGACAGAGACTTTCCCCCATTCGTCCACCAGGTGGCGCTTTTCCATCAAGAGAAACTTAAACTGCACCCATTCACAGCACCAAAAATCCTGAGCCTCCAGCAGAGTCCCTGAGGCTGTGTTCAGCTTTGATGAGCAATTCTTACACACAGAAAATTCAGGGGGTGAAAACAAGTGAAAAGCATCCTCCTGATTGCATTTTAAAACATCTCTCTGCCTCAGACCTGCTGTTGTGCATGAGGACGTGGCCTTCAGGTCCCAGAGTTTTTCTGAGCAAACTCTGGACTCAGTCAGCACGGTCAATAATTCAGCTGCTCCGGGTCTGCTCCAGGTGGATGAAGACAGAGGTGACAGCACGGGTCTCTTTAACGTGGAGATTTTTGCAAAGCTCTGCACTGACTGGACGCTTTTAAAAAAAAATACTTTTTTTTTTGTACGACCTCACTGTGAAGTCAGCCACAACTCAACATAACTCACAACCCAACTCAGCCATGACCAGATGAGTTGGGCTTTTTTATCTGACCTCATGAGATCTGCCACCATTTTCATGTTTAGGGTCTAAATTCTGGTGAAAGTGTGTTCTGATGATGAGTTATTAATGGTATTTTCAAACATTTGAGGCTCATCTTTCACAGAGTTTTTCTTTTCCTGAATTGCATGAAAATAGCAGCATCTGAAAGTTTAAACTGAAATAGATTTGATCTCAAAGATTTCTGGATTAGCATTAAGGGAAAAGACAATATTATAATCAGCTTTCTTACATTGATATTTAATTATGTAATACATAACATTTACAATGTTCTGTTTTGTTATCCAATAATGTCTCCATTTAGGATCTGAGAGACAGATTAAATATGATATTTACAGGCTGTTCTAACCTGAAATTTTATGGAAATATTTCAAATGAAAGCACTAAACTGTGAGTGTTTTCCTCCTGATTGCACCATTACGCATTCAGGAGCTCAAACTGGTGATTGAAGCCCACTTTCTTCTTCCCTCAATGCAGCAGGTCGTCAGGGAGGGCTTGACCGATCAGCAGGACAGTAATGATTGTCCCCCTTTTGGCTCCTGCTCTCCGGGGGCCCATCGACAGGCCCTCCTCATCAGCGCGCAGCCTTATTAGAGGCGATGCCCAAAGAGGGAGGGGCCACGCTTTCTTTCCCGTCGGTGTATGGTGATGGATAAGTATAAGACCCCACCACAAGAATGCGATCACACTGGAAAAAACAAAGCTTTGCGTCGCCTCCTCCCGCCGCACTCACAGACGCTCCGACATGCTGCAGCTGATCCTGCCCGTGCTCCTGTCCTCCCTCTGGGCTGCCTGCGCGGGTTCCGGAGGTGAGTCTGCCCCCGGATGACTGGTCTTATCCATCTTCATTCATGTTTGGTCAGACTTGAACGGAATGGAGAAATAGAGGGAAAACATAATGTGGCTAAATGCGGGATTTGGGCTGAGAAATGAGGCGTTTACAGCCTGATATTTACAGGATTTGTTGGTCTCCTCAGCTCCAGGTTTGGGATTTGTTGATGGTCAATTTATTTTCATATACTATGTCAATTCATTGGTTTAATATATCCAAATTTACAGAGCTGTCATGCGTGATTCCTATCTGTCTTAAACAGTAAGATTAAGATGATTGAAGACAGAGACTCTGTATCCCGTAAGATGGAAAACAAACACTTTTTTAAGTTGATTTTTCCAAGAAGAGATAGATGGGGGAAATGGGGGGGGGGGGGGGGGGCCCCAGACTTCTGCAGAGAGAGAGAGACCCAACCGAGGCCCCAATAAATCCGCTCGCGCGACGCGCTGCACCTGCCGTGTCCATCACGCGGACGCGGCTCCGGCCGTTCCTCCGCGTGTCCGTTCCTCCGCGTGTCCGTTCCTCCGCGTGTCCGTTCCTCCGCGTGTCCGTTCCGGTGTTTTGGCACCGAGCTGCGGGACCATCCATCAGCTGAGGCACGCGCGTCTGACCGAGCACCGGACGTCCTCTCCTGTCCCCTCCTCTCTCCCTCGCGTCCTCTCCGTGCACCTGCTCGGAGCCACGCGCAGCCAGGGACTGCCGCACGCGGATGCAGATCAGATGCATCGTGTGGATTCATGTCACAGACAAATGTGACCCCCCGCACCCCCCCGGAACGTGATCTCAGTTCTCCGATTTCAAAATCCACACTTTAATTTCAGCTTTCCTTTGAAATGTGCGTCCGCGCGTGACACGCAGTTTTCGGCCGTGCTGTCAGACTCAGAGCGCGCGCGTGTCCGCAGGCTCTCAGATATATCGAAACGCGCTCGTATTGTTCCTGGAGATCAAAGGCCAGCGCGGATTGGTCAAGAATTGTGCGGACAGAGATCTGATTGGCTGCGCTCGGCACGAGAGCCAGCGGGCCGTGAAAACAGAGAATAGGCAAAGAGGAAGTTTTTTCCTGGTTTCTCAAGTTATCGCTTTAGCAAAATTGGTTAAAGAATAAGATATCCTGTGTTGTAAAACTGTCTGAAAGTGGTAATAAAAATCAGGAAGTGCTGTTATAGAGTTTAACCAGACCTGCCATTAGCTAAACTTCTATCAAATGCAATTATTCTCAAACGTTTCAGTCTATTAGTTAATGACTGACCATCAAAACGGGCAAAAATAAACTAGCAATAAATGTTTAATCATTTAATTTAAAAAGTGTAATTGAAATAAATACACTTTGTTCATGAGCACACACAATCTGACAGCTGTGATTAAAAAGCTCAACACTGATGAGCTTCCTTATGGTGATGATGTTCTGGGACTGATACATATTATCTCTGTAAGGCTCACACAATAGATGCATATATATATTATATACATGAAAATGTCACGTCTCCCAATTACCAGCAAAACTGCCAGTAAAAGTGAGCTGGGCATAATCCTTTATAATCCCTCAGCATCCAGGCGGAGGTGGGGACTAATTAGACCTTTCAGAGTTTGGTTCCCTTCTCATTTGCACACAGACTTGATCTGTTATTCAGATCACAGACTTGAGCATCCTCCTGCGTCCTGGAGGGTTTAGACTCAGTGAACGGTGGCTCTGCTGAATGCCGTCTGACTGAGATGGACCTCCCAGGCTTTGTTTATGCCCACGGCCCCGTTTCCATGCCGGAGCTGCAGGAAAAAGGCTCACCAACACGTTAAAGTAACCAAACGTTGACTTCCTTGACAAACACAAGTCCTCGTATGAATGAAGTAACCCAGCATGAGACCCCTCCCTGCATTTCTTCAACAGCAGGAGCGTTTTTCATAAATATTTGATTTGTTAGCCCTCTGCAGATGCTTGCCTCCGGGTAACGGGGCGGAAACAACAAGCAACTGTTGATAAATATTTGTAATGTTTATTCTGAATGGGAACATAAAGCACAAAAGGCAACTTTTTGCGAGCGGGATCACAATTCCTGTGTATTGTGAGTCTTTTTTTGTTACCACGAAGGACAGCTAACTCATACCCCCGGGGGAACAATGCCACGTTTGTGGCTCGGAAACTCAAATAAACTTCAGCAAGTTTGTAAATATGTACGCAGTCTGGCTGGATATTAGCCAGAAATAATGGGAAGGGAAAACATCCATTCAACAAGAAAACTTTGGCTTGCTGGTGTCGCCCAGAGGCCAGCAGGGACAAACAGTGAGACTGACACTGAGACGCAGAAGAAACGGATGCTAAATGTTTTCTGTGAGTACTTTAACTATTTTTTTTCTCTTTCAGATTGGTGCTATCAGTCCCAGTTTTCCTGCACTCATCAGTGCAATGGTCAGTACCCTCTTACATGAAATTATGTTTTTAAATCAACACCAGAAACAGAAAAATAACTCAGAGAGGTCTCTCTGGTTTTCAACTTTAGAATGACAGATGAGGAATCTTCCATTTAGGGTGTTCTTTCTGTATTACTGGCTTTAAAAAATGTACATAAAACAGGTCTAAAGGAACCCAGAATGGGAGGCAATCAGTCAAGCAGGACATTTTCTTCTTTTAGCTCCAGAAAAGTGGGACCATGCCAATCAGGATTGTGGAGGAAGTAAGCAGTCGCCCATCAACATCGTCACCAGAAAGACGATTAAAGACGAGCGCCTGACTCCTCTGAAGTTCAGCAACTACCAGCAGATCTTCAAAAGCTCCATCAAAAACAACGGCCACTCGGGTGAGCTCACTGCCCCACGCAGGGGGATTCCCTCAAAGGCTTCGGAGCTGTTGTGTGAGGTCCTCAAGCGTGTTTTTATCCGTCCACTCCAGTTCAGGTTGGAGTTCCTCACCTCAGTACCATCTCTGGTGGAGATCTGCCAACCACCTACAAAGCTGTGCAGTTCCACCTGCACTGGGGCAACAAAGGAGGGCCCGGCTCTGAGCACACCATCGACGGGGAACAGTACCCCATGGAGGTGACTGATATTTACTGACGCTGACTGATGCTGTCCTTAAATTAACCTTCTTATTGCATATTTTTACTTCTGAAAAACTACTTTAGAAGCACAGTTCTGATCCCAGAATGGGACACTTTAGGCTAGGATTGTTTACACTTTACATCAACAATTATAAATAAATTTATTTGAATACTTATATTACCAATGATTATTTTATCTTTAAAAAAAATAACACTGATATGAAATAAAGTCTAACAAAAACAATATGTTGCCGTTTAAGTTTCCTTAAACAATCAAGTTTCAGTTTGATCAACGCTGTTTTCATCAATTAAGTCATTTCAAACATATTGTGACTAAACAGGGCAGAATGTGAATGTTCACAGATATCACAGTTGCTTTGAGCCCCTGTCACATTATTTTCCTGTTCAGGGTTCTGACGCTGTGCATGAAGCGTGACCGTTAATCATTTAAACGCGTGTTAATCGTTATATTTCCCTCCAGCTGCACATCGTCCACATGAAGGCCGACTACGCTGATCTCACAACAGCACTGAGGGACAGAGAGGGTGTTGCAGTCCTTGGATTTTTCTATGAGGTAACACTTTTAAAGGCAACATTAAAGCCCCCCCCCCCCCCCGGCACCTGCATCACTGTGAATTGACACCGTTCTCAAATGTGTTTATTTCTATTTTTAGGTGTCCAACAGTGCAAACCGGAAGTACGACCCCATCATCACTTCACTGCAAAGCATAAAAGCAGCAAGTAGGTTTCAGTGTAACCAGCCCAGACACGGCTGTAGGCCTTTGTAGGCCTTTTGGTGCTAACTTTGTGGCTTTTCTGCTTTCAGATGGCAACATGTCTCTGCCCTCCATTTCTCTGGCTCAGCTGATCCCGTCTGAGCAGAACATGACCTCCTACTTCCGTTACAAAGGGTCTCTGACCACCCCGGGGTGCACTGAGGCCGTCATTTGGACTGTCTTTGAGAACCCCATCCCTTTGAGCATGGATCAGGTTAGCATCAGGGGTTCACAGATTTAGTACAGAACGGTTTTGTGAACGGTGAGACCCTGGAGCCTAACCTCTGTGTTGATGCTCTGCTCTTTCAGCTCAAGGCTTTCTCTGAGCTCAAGTTCAGTGACGGCAACCCGTTGGTGGGGAACTTCCGGCCCATCCAGCCCCTGAACGGCCGGAAGGTGTTCCGCTCCAGCGGCGCTGTGGTCCTGGTCAGCTCGGCGCTGCTCCTGGCCACCCTGGCCGCGGCGTTGGGGCTGTCCCAGCCCAACTAGAGCGCGGCGTCCTGTGCTGCACTGTGACATCCACGAACACAAAGGGCTGAGCCTCAGTGTCGTACATCTTTATCGCATGGTTGCTAAAATGATGGACCACGTCGTAGTGCCGGGATCGCTCACCGTTCCTCCCTCATGACACAAATGACAAAGGCGTTGGAGGAGGGCCTTATGAGAGGTGCTGTAGGGGGTTCGATCAGCATTCGTGCATGCATAGCGAAGCAGTAAGTCTTATTTCAGCATTATGAATGTGTCATTAAGCTGGTTTCCAGGCACTCAAAGTGATCATTCAGCCTCCACACCAAGATCGGTCGGTCGACCTGTAATTCTCATGGCTTCAATCTAATCACAAACACACACATCCCACTTCCACCTTGTCCAATGTCAGGTAAATTTAGTCTCTGTTAATGCCAGAGCGAGTTGCCAATAGTTTGCGCTCTGAGTGCGGGTGTCAGCCCAGTAAGCTGGCATGTGATGTGTTGTTCTTTTGGGGGGCACGTGAACAGCACGGAGTTATAAATAGCAGAACTGAGTCATAAAACAAGCTCTATTTCAAAGCTAGCGGTCAAAGGAGTCAGCAGTTTCTTCTGAACTCCGGCATAGCGCAGCATGGCAGTGGGGTGAGCTCCTCCCAGTCGCTCGGGCAGGTCGGGAAAGAAGGGAGCTGAAGTCTGTGCAGAAAACAGCTGCGTAATGGTCTGAGAGCAACACCGCTCTCCTCTCAGAGTCACCCGAGGCCACGATACAGAGAAGCTAGTAGCGGCGACTGCAGCACTGAGACACAACCAGCGTGGTTTCATCCTGGGAACGCCACCATCATGCATCCCATCCAACGAATCGCATGAATCTGCATGAATTGATGTTAGCGATGTTTAGCACAAGCTCGCCAGATTCCCCACACACTCCTCAGTCACTCTGTTTGTCCTTTAAAAAAATGACCATAAAAGTTGAATGGAGCTTATTGTGAGAACGTGCAACTGTGCTCATGACTTGTTATCGACTGTGAATCTTACCAAGCTGAGTTCTCAGATATTTATTCGGGAGGACTCTTAAAGTATTTTAGAAGGAGATTTGTGCAATTTTCCAGTAAGATTACCCGTGATGATCAAACAAGGAATCTGTGTATTTTCCATTGTTATACAAGGCTTCAAGTTATATTTCTATGCTGTCTTTGTACACATGTATTTATGTACTGAATGTGTATATTGATATCAGAACGCACAGTTGTTGTTATTTATGTATAGAATGCAACAAGTATATATATATATATATATGGAGCATCAAGTTGTTCATGACCAATCGTGTTTACTTATGATGTTCAAGTGTATGAGACTGTCAGGTTGTAATGCTTGAAGGTGTCAAAAATAATGTGTAAAATGTGTTCTAACTGAACAATAAACTACATTACTTTTTAAGTGTGTGTCTTCTGCTTGGAGAGTAAAAACAAACTGTCCAGCTAAGAGTAAGTAAAGTTATTTAATGGTGACTTCGTCTGATTTAATAGATACAGTTAGTATTTTATTAGAGCAGAGTAACACTGGTAATTCACACAGTCTTTTACAAGCTGCTTTTCCATGACAATTTCTAAACCCTTTTTCCATTTGACATAAAAAAACACAAAAATGTGTGCTTGAGAGGCCATGGCAGAGCATGGGCAGAGTAACTTGTCCAGTTTAACCCTTGTTGGGTCTGTTCTAACAGGAGGGATTTGCCTCCAAACTACTGTAGACCGTCTGAGTGTGCTGTGCTTGGTTCATGGTTGGGATTCTCAGCCTGGAAAAAAGTGGACTTTTTTTTTTAAACTAGTCCTGTATCTCTTTTGATGTGTTTGAAAAAAATGGGAATGGCTCCAAAGAGAAATGTATGTGGCATAATTGGACTCTTGGGGGATCTGCTCAGTTACTGCATTTATGAAAACATTTGAAAAATCAGTGAAAGTTAAACAGAGAACCTGTGTACTCACAAACATGTGTCCACCCTGTATAATTTTTTTGTGACACATAAATTTGGACAGAAAACTGGATTGCTGGAGGCGCTGATATAAGTGGGTATGCTGCTGCGTTGACATCCCATTTTGCTCCTATAATTGGAGCTATAGTCTGGTAATGAGGAGCTGCCAGTCACAGTCATTCAGTCCAACAGGCTACATGCATTTTTAATGTCGGCTCTTGGTCGTGCTGAGACAATAACAATTTTTTGCTCATTGCATGTCAACGTGTTGAGTTTTCCGCGTTGGTCAGTCGGGGTTCTGCATCACTGCTCTGAATAAACTCATGAAACACACTGTTGGCCCTGAGCCCACAGACCTGCTTCTCCATACATGAGCCGAGCCCGATTCGGCCTGCCGGGACTCTGAGAACCCAGTGTCCTAATCCTTTTGTAATTGTCCCTCTTCCTGATGTTATAGAAGCTGTTTTTGGCCTTAACTCAAGTAATTCAGTGACTTGATTAGCAGGAGATTGTTGTAATGTTCTCAGCTCGCTATCAAAGCAACCAGAGGTACACAAACACCCTAAAATTTGAGATAACATAGTTTTTTTGTCTTCTCCACAATGACCTAGGAGCTAGTCTCCAGGTGCTTCTTGTAGTTATTTTCAATCCCCTGCCCCCTCCTCATTTGTTTTTTTCCTCTCTGTCATTAACGAATCAAAAGGCTTATTGTGACAAGCTTAGGAAGACAGCAGCCTCCCACACAGACACGCATGATGGCTGAGAGAGAGTATGCACACGAACTCGAATGAAAGCCTCCTTCCCCTGCTCAAGCTTCAAGTGCTTCTAAGTATCAGAAGGGACCGGGGATCAAGGGGAGGATGCTTAATATCTGCCAGTGGCACCTTGTGATCTTCCAGGCAGCAGGGCAGCGGGACTAACTCCTAAATCTCCACCCAAATGCCCCACATCTCCGGGGTATCCGAAACAAAGGGCGCCTTTCACCTGAGAGAAACCAGAGGCATCCTCATTGTGGATGTGAACCCCCCCGCCTCCAGACACACACACCTGCCCATCAGATGGCAGCTGCACTAACGGTCACTGGGTTGACCTCAGCCCGTGTTGTCTCCAACAAACAGTGTCACCTTTACTGTCTCCCCTCCCTCTCTGGACGTTTTAACGCTGGTGCTTCACTTACAGAAACGTGGACTCCGATCAGCTCTATTCTAATCCAATTAAAACACCTGCTAACCTCATTTTTCAGCTGCCCGTGATATAACTCACTGATGTTTGTGCCAACTATGACGGCCGTGATGTAAGATAAGCCGGGGGTAAAAAATAACCTGCCCCCACCTCTTGCCAGGTAGCGGACCAGTGGGCAGATCGCCCACCCTGCTGCTGTTTTTACGCTGATAAGGAGTCCGAGAAACGGAAATAAAAAAAAGAGGCCCACACATGTTTTCATGATTGAATTCAAATGAGAAGTGAATGCCAGCAGAATGACAGTTTCTGCTTAAAAGTTTAGCACACAATAGCTTTCACTTTGAAAACTGAGGCTGTTACAGCGAGAGGCCATTTACTGCTTTTTATCTTCACTGGATTACAGGACAAACACCTTTACAGACATTACCATACAGCTGGCATCATTGGGATTGATATCCTCTCATTTACACTCAGTCGCTGGCATCATTTACATCCAGTGTTTCATGATGGGAGACTATTGACGGCTTTTTATCTCAAGAAGGGGAAATCTTTGTCCTTAAAATCAGAAATGTGCCTGAATGAGAGCTGGTCTGTGAGGGCCATTTGCAGGCAGTTTTGTCAGCGTTAGAACGATAAAAAGTCGTTCACTACAACAAAAAGGCCTGACTCTGCATCTAAAAGGAAACAGGTTGGATACATGTTCTCAGTTTAAGCAGCAGCTTTTAGAAAAGCAATTTGAATGATTAGCTAACCTCAGACTGGATGGAACAGTAAGGAAAGCATTCCAACAGAAGAGCATCCAGTCAATTTTATAATAGTCAGTGACTTTTAATCCAAAATCATTACTGAGAGGGCTTCTTTAAATTTGAAGGATCAATGCTTTTGTTTCTAAACTAAAAGATCTTCTACAGACTCATCCAGAGGAGATTCCCCCTCCACGATTAATATAAAACCTGCAGAGAGGATCCCAGCTGCCACTGAGAGGTGAGGTACGACCTGGATGAGTCCCTCTCAGTGTTGCACAGGAATCGTTCATTCCCAAATGGGGTCGCGGGGGGGTACACGCGGGATGGATAACTTTGCAATACAGCTTTAAAAGATGTCCACTGGACCCTTTGTTAAAGAAAAGTGGAGTGGTTTCTGTAGATGCACTCTCAAGAAGCTCGTGGGAAGTGATCAGTGTCACCACTGTTTAAGTGGCTTCTCTGGTTCTTCTGCTCTTTCAAAACGTTGGTTATCTGTTAACCACTTCTGCGTTTTTTTAGATGCAGCTAAACACAAACATCCAATCAGCAGTTGTCTGAGAAGTGGCAGCAGATTGGGTAAGGCACGGCCACTGGAAGCATGTGCTGGGCAAAGCAGCATGGATTGCTATATCTGATACATCAGTCATGTTGGCAAGCAGTTTCTTTCTCAGCCTGAAGAGAACAGGAATGACAATTAGATCCACCACCAAACCAGGCCTAAGCCTTTCAGGCACAGAAAGGCCTGGGACATCGCGAACAACCCTAAAAAATACCTGGCGAGTAATCAGTGGCATGCTGAGTCATGAAATCTTCTTGACCCTTTGGGGTCTGACACCGTGACATTTACAGCAGATCTCTGCAGGCCTGCTGTGACTTTGAGCCAAAGCATGTTGAAGTTTTTCCAACACATTTCCACTGGTTTATGCTGCCACCAAGCTCACGAAACGGTTTCCACAGAACTGCCGTACAGGAAATACATCAGAGGGGCAGCATTTGTGTGAAGCATGAACCAATCAGATGATTGTGGCGCTGTCTCCATCCAGTCTCTGCCTGTGTTGAAATATCGATAAGAAAGTTTAACTCAGAATAGATAAGACGTATTCCACTTTGTGAGTGTGTGCAGCACTGAAAGGCTGAAAAGTTGCCCCTGACCACAGAGAAGGTTACACTCTGCCCACAGACCTGTGACATAAGAGCTGGCATTGTGTGAGAACCAGGGAGCTGGATGTGGCAAGTTTACCGCAAACAAGCCCCATACAAAGCACGTTTGCTCACAGGAAAATAAAAAAGGCAAACTTTTAATCGTCAGCCCAGCTCGGGTAACTTAGCACATAGTGATCCACTGGCTGATATTTGGCACTTGGCTGTGGAAGACGCTCGGCGGTGACCTGAATGCAGAGTTGGACCAATGCGGCAGCAATCAACAGGAAGTGGATCAGGCAGGAGCAAAGGACCGTCCAATTCTGCCAGGAACAAAGGCCCCGTGGCAACCAGCACTCACAAACACAAAATAATGCTTCTATTTTAGACAACAATGATGACTGGCCGCATTGTTCTCTGCCGACCGTCCGGAGCGCGGGGTGGTCTTCTGAAAAGGTAAAAAGTGTTTGGACGCCGCATTCCTGGGTGATCCTGGTGCCTCACAGCTTTTCCTGGAGGACTGAGACACCAGAAATGTGCTAATGGGTTGATCTTCGCTGCTTGAATGAACATTTTCTACAAAATATTCCTTCCATTATTTGAAATGTTTTATAAGCTGAAAATAAGGAAAAGATTCCTGAAAATACGTCAACAGCTTCAGAATTCCTAAGAGACGTCTTAGCTCACATCCTGTCCAAAAATGAGCTCGTGCTGCTGATGAAATTCCCAGGTCAACGGGTGATGACGTGTTCCATTATGTACCTGGCCATGTCTGGACACAGTCCATCCTCCCAAATTTGGCTGGTGCCACAAAATTTTTCTCTGGGTGGCGACACATCCTGTTCACCAGCAACAATGATTAAGCAAGGAGATTCTCATTTTGATTTTCCAAATCACACTCTGTGAGTCATTCTGAGAGGCCACAATGACAACAAGAGGCTGCCACAACCGCCCCAGTCACATAACTCACGTAAGCTCTTCCCCCCCAGCCACAGAGCTCTGAATGCAAAAAAAAAAGAAGCCAAAACTGAGGAAAAAAGACGGCTTAAGACAGCAGGGTATTGGCCCAACATCAAGTGAATTTTAGGGAACAGAAAAACTGTTTGTTCCTTTCAAATAGTAATATTTATCATTTCGAAGGAAGGAGACAAAGCCGGGCTCACATGCAGAAAGACAGATAACTGCAGGACAGCAGACAAGAGGCATGAATGTTCTTGGGCTTTTGCTCCCACACTAATTTAAAAATACACCATTTTTTTCACGAATGCCGTTTGTGTTCGCACACAGTTGTGCCGTCGTTGCGTCACTCTCACCTGCTTGTTGCCGGTAAGGCCCTGAGTCGAGCTGGACATTTTAAACAACCTCGTCTAAATTTGCTGCCCCATCTGCGTGGAATA